TAGTATTTTTTATTTTTAAAATGAAGGATCAATTCTTTCTTGATCATTTCTTCTAAACGTATATTTGCAAAGTACGATTCAAATTTTAAATATATATTAACACGCCATACCTACTAAATTAGTACCAGTTACTTACTATAAATCATAATTTGTTATAACAACCAATATATAATTATACGAATACCGAACCGAATACCAAAACTTTTGAATATAAAAAAAATTTTTGAATGTCATAGTCATTTTGAATACTATTCCTATAATAGAACAAACAATAGCACCGATTATACTAATTACTACGACTTGCAAAATTGCGATTAAATGTAAAAATTTATAAATCCACCATTTGTATTATGAACAGAGGGTAATTACAGTTTTCACTTTTAAGATGTCAGACTATACGACTTGAAGAGCTACATTTTTAAATTTAGTTTTAAAGAGATGCTCCTCTTTTGGCTTAAAATTATTATTAAAAGTTGCATTATAAACCGTATTTTTATGTATAGTATTGTAGACCACATGAGATGCTGCGATGAACATGCTTTTATTGACAATCATGTCAGAAGCCTCTGATGCTTCTAAAATTAACACCTAAAAATATATCTAACGGGTTATAAAAATTGGATAACTGTAATTATTGGATTTATTTATAGCTCAGATAGATTTTAATCTTGAATGAGTCTTTTGTCACCAAACAAACTGTATAATCCTTTGAGACCATGTAACTCCTCAGAATAATCTTCACTTAGCTCAGACAACTCCACCTAAATTTCTTTGAAGAATATAGCTTTGAATATAACTTGAGTAAATACAGATAATAATAATAGTATATAGGAAATATAGTTAAAATTAATTTCACTCTAATATAGTTGGAGTTTATTGGGATGCCATGTTGGAGTAAAATTGCGAAAAAGTCATATAGATTTAATTTCTCTTCTGGATGCTTCTCGTTATTTGATATTTGTATTAATATTATCGACAAATAACAAGAAACTGCTGAGAAAGTTATATTGTAATACAAAAATCTAGGGAAACAGAACTTGAAAGACTGATAAACTGATTTTCTGTAAGAAGTGAAGGGAGTTAAAAATCTTGAAAATTTTTTTGTATTTCCATTGCAGTAACTTGTGTAACATGGAAAACTCACTCCATCGATATGTACGAAAGAATCAAAGGAAAATAGCAGAAAAATAAAGTATCCGAAGCTTCAAATGATTTACGAAGCAGGCGCAGACATGCTGAGTAATGAAATATATAGTACAAGAATCACACACACGCATGCACACATTACGCATGGGCGAGCGTCACAGATAGCGCAGCAACCCGCGAGGGAGAAAAGTTACATTGACCGTGACCCTCTCAGGCTCATACCGCTAGAGAGAGCATGCATACTGATAGTAGCAGGGCGCCGGCTCTTTACGTGGCAAGTGCAAGGTCAACGCGATGGGCAGCGTGCCAACTACTTGTACGTATGCAAGCAGGCAGAGCACCAACCCAATTTCCTTTTCCCACAGACCTCAACAGATGCGACTCTAACTGGCTTGCGTCACTCGACTGTACCCATCTATTCCTTCCGATGTTCATGTGTAGATCATTTTGGTAATAGCAATCATTATCTTTGCAATTATTGAAGATAATTTATTTCTGACTTTACTGTTTGATGGACATACCGGTTATATTAAAATTAATTGTTTCAATATAATATGACGTTTGATTGAAACTCGCTTGGACTTCCTGAATGTCAAGAAGCTAGGGAAATTAATTAATTGTCCAATTTAATTAAGCGAGTGATAAACATTACCCGGTCATGTTTAGTAAAACGAAAATGCTGTAATCGTATACTGTTAAATTATGTTAATTAACTTCCAAATGAACATTTTGTGAAACATAAACTAAGATTTGTGTTATTTCTTTGACAGAATTACCACTGGACTGAAATATTCCTCTTTTACTTACAATTGTAATTGATAAATATTTTTTTAATATCGTGTAAAGATACAAGAAGTTGCATGTAGCGTAAATTCACTGAAAACGCTTAGTAAGCCTCGGAAATAGAGTGACCCAAGGATTTCACGATGAGAGAAGGATGAAATACGAAGGAAACACAGTGAATAAATTGCATGACATTTCCGAGGGCTTTCACTGACAGCATCGAAATAAGAAAGAGTGAGAAATATTAGATTCACTAAGTGAGCTATAAGAAATCTGGATACTGTTTTGCAATTGTTTCCAATCTGATCTTTAATAAATCATCTCGAAACAGCTCGTCCAATTCACTCTCGAAAATTACCTATTCGCTCGATCATGCGAAACAAAAAAGAACAGTGAGAAAAAACTGTAGTGTTTCTGTACATGATCGAGTGAAACTAAAATAAAATTGAGAACGCGCACAAAAAATAACAGACGATGTGTATATCATCGGAAGTCAAATGTAAGCTCCATCCAAGCGAAAAGCACGAGAAGATAGTGAGTCGAAAGGCATAGTAGCCTCTTGAATAAGACAAAAGATTCAACAACAAAAATATTAGTTCGACCTTTCCTTATATGACTTCTCGCCTTCTCTCCTTACTCCACTTATTTTCATTCGAGATCACCTCTGCGTATGTACTTTCCTTTTGTTTCTATCGATCGGCAGAGAAAAAGACAATTTCGAGTGTAGCGTGTTCTACGCTAGCTGAATCGCATCCAATCTCTGCCTTCCGTGCCATATTATTATTTTCCACGGATAGCGAACGCTTGGAGAACTTACACTCGAGATATGCAAATACTAACCTGGCGCTTAAAAGTATTTGCTCTACGATCATCTGCAGCTTTGTCTTTTATCAATTCGACATACTTTTTTCTCTCGTGAAAGGGTAAAGCACTCGCGCGGGACGCAGACATGTCGTATTCATATGACGCTAAGAGCACTTGATTACGATATACGATTGTATTGGAAATTATTATTATTATTATTATTATTTTGCTATATTTTTTCTATATACTCTAGCATCAAAGAACATAGTACCAGCTATTGACATTTCCCATGATGTGAAGGTTTTTCCTACAAAGAGTACGTATACGAAGCTAAACGTCTTTTTTCCCCATTCGTTAATTTTGAAATGGGGATGTATAATTCAGTGGGATATTCTTTGGAAGTGTTGTGAAACTTTGATAGGACTCTAGAGGTTTATTACTTAGCCATACGAAGCAAATGATGAGAGACAATTAATGTAAGGTCTGAAATGTAAGGAGAAAGAAAGAAAAAAGAGAGAAGTATAAGTATGAGGTTCAATAAAATCATGTTTTCTATACTACAAAAGATATACGAGGGTTATTTGTATTAAAACCAATTGAAACATAAGTGCCCATCCAGTCACAACTTCCAGCTATCAAATCCATATAAAAAACCAAAAAAGAGTGCTTCTTCGGAATACAAGCAAGCGACGAGCTAATAACGCAGATAAAGCTCATGACTGACGGAAGCGAGTGTCGCCATAACGTCAATCGGTGATCGATCGTTTTCGCTTGACCGTGGCCTTCCTATATAGTTCGTCGCGCCACAAAAATTGCCTCGCGCGTATAGAGGAGGTTCAAGGTCGTCGCCATCGGCGTCGTCGTCATCGTCGTCGCGACGCCGCCGTCCCCGCTGTCTCTGACGTGTGCCCACAGACGTCGGCAGCCAGACGCGCAAACTCTCAAGCGACCTTTCCGCGACGATGCACTCACCATCAAATCCTAATAGATACAAGTGCATTTATACGTTTTCCGCAACATACAACTTGCGCCTTTTTCGCGCTGTTTTAAAATGGCACCTATTGATTGTTTTGTAATGTTTAGATGAGCTTAAAAATGTTATTAATTATACCGGCTTTTGTGAAAATACGTGTATCTAGATTGTGTAGGATAATCGAAAAGGTTAGAACCCAATGATATCACTGTATGGCTATAAGCTGAGTTTGTATAGCTTGCTCAATTTCATCCAATTGGATCTTATCTTTTATGACTTGATATTCGTGGATGAACAAAGCTATTTAATTTTTTAACGAAACAGGAATGCTTGTCATGAAGCTACAATTTTTTCGCTGTAAATAAATGAAAATCACAAATCTCTACCTCGTCATTTGTTACACTATCAATTCGGATCAGAAACAACTCAGCTACTTGTCTCGCGAAAACGTTGTATGAGCAAGTTTGCTCTTGATTCATGACAGACATATAATGGATTTTTCCGAGCGGAACTTTCTACAGAGCCATGCTGCAATAATTTATACATCGAAAATTTCCCCGCCTCTTGTATAATCTCATTGCCCGCTTCACTCATCATTTCATCAAAACAAATTTTTAATCCAGAACAGCTGGTTTTTCCCAGTTGACAGAACTAATTGTATTTTCTTCTTGAATAATATTGTAAGTGTTATCGACAAAGTGGTTTGAAATGTCAGGGTATAAAATTAATCAAACTGACGTAATAAAATGATCTTATAAAATCACATAATTAATAGATTATAGGTATGTTAAAAATTTTCATATTCGTTCATTTTCCTGGCGATAATGTTTCATTTTTACTTCTATAAATTGGAATGTATAGCTTAAGAAAGGAGTCACAGAGAGCATTTAATTTTGTATAATTTTATGAGTAATTTGGAGTTGTTTCAAGCTTCAATTTAAATTTTAGCTTCGATCTTTCTTTTTTCAAACTTTTAATTGATTGGAATTAGTTATTCAAGAAAGAAAACGATAATTTAACAATTTTCTAAAGATTTGTGATTGATTTTATATAAAAAACAACTATAATATCTTTTAAGGACATTAAGTTTTTGTATAGTAAATTTATTGCTGTAATGGAACTATTTTTTTTCAATTTCATAGATTGTTCTACCAGTCATTGACGTTGGTGAAGTAGCTAACATTTGACACAATAAACACATTAATCTTGTAATACTTGTATTTCGTCATAAATATGTACTTGACAAAATCTTTTTTCGATGATTGTATGAAATAATCGGGTTTAAGAAGTTAGATCACCGCCTGAGTTTGCTCAAGATCCAGGGCATATAATTATAGACTTTAGTATAAACGCCAGGTATGCCGTTTCTACCACAATTTTTCGGTCCGAAAGATACGATTCCAACAGCATTCCAACGAATATCACCATTGGGATATCTATTTTGTTGCATTAGTGGACCTCCAGAGTCACCAGTACACGAGTCCCTACCGTCCCCGTTACCAGCGCATATCTGACCATCTCCGAGGAAAATACCCAACGGCTGATAAACTTGATGACACTGAAAAGCTTGGACTAGGGGTACGGTGACTTGAAGCTTCACCTCAGACTGGCTGCGAAGTTCAGTTCTACCCCAGCCAGCGACTCGGAATTTCGACTCCAACTTGGAAGTTCTTGGCAGACAGATTGGTTTGATGAACGAGGTGAATGATACATCACGGGACAGACGAAGCAAGGCAATATCGTAACGTTGATCACCGTTGTGCGGATTGTAGTCCTCGTGTACGATTTGCTGTTCGATGCCAACGACAACAGGAGGATCGGCGCAAAACATGCCGGTATCTCCGTCAGGAATACAGTCACGTGCGGTCTCAATGTTGTACTCGCCGAGACGTATTCTGTTCAATCTCCAGGTGGAGGGCAAAGATCGGCCTTTCAGACAATGAGCTGCGGTCATAACGTAGCGGTTGTTGATCAAAGCTCCACCGCATATCAGTTTTCTGCCATTAGCTGAAAAGATGACGCTTCGTGTTATCTCGCGATAATAAGTATTCGTAAAACAAACGTATCTCCTAAGGCTCGATCGTCGGTGGGATACATTTTCCTCGTGAGTCATCCAATAGACGCAAATTTAGAAGCTTTGGCCTGACTTGTATGATCGACATTGTGATGCGTTGGATCGTAAAATTAACGTACTATCGCGAACCTACAAAGAATAGCGCGGAATGACGGGCACACTGTTAACCTTTAACGCCTCGTACGTCAATAACGAATATCGAAATGAGCAGCTGTTATACATTAGTGATTGACTCTCAGTATTTATACACGTTTGTGTATGGCGTGACAATGATTTGAATAAGTTGTGCGCGTGCGACGACTGTTTCCTCGTTCGTGAAAAATAGTGCCTGCTAATTGTTCCACGGATTTTTTCATAACGGACTTACGTGTGTCGTATTCGAGAAGGGCCATCCAAGGATAGTCGTACAAGTCAGTTCTCAGACCACCGAAAATGCGTTGTCCCTCTTGATTACCACACTGCTCCGGCAAAAGTGGGTTCTTGTTGTCGGCACCATTGTTCGTTGAGGGTCTATCGGTGTTGATTTGTTGCAGAGGAACAGCCGAAATATGGGGCGATGCACAGCAAACCAATGGGTCATGACCGTGGAAACCACATTGACTTTGTCTTACAAAATCGATGTCTGCCTGACTACGATCAATAGCTGACAGATGAGTTATCAGCTCTGGACACTGTCTCAAATTAAGGCAGTCACCTCGTCTTCCGTCCGGTGTGGTACAAGAGTTATGTACTTTAATCAGTAAAATCAGTATATAAGTGTCTTTCCATTCTTAATTTAGAAGAAGAAGATAACTTACCTCCGTTTACAACACTGAGAACGACCCCAGAAAGTAGAATCAAAGCACAAGTAATTTGGCAACCCATGGCTGATTTAGCTTTGCTCGCGTCTGTACTAGCAAACGATGAGGCTTTGTTCAGAGTTGGCCAAATATTTGGCACGTACACTCCACGTCAGAGCTTGACGTTGCCACGAGCAGTCACAGAATAAAAGTGCGATAACGTGCAGAATCGACCGAGTATTTATAAGCGACGCCAATTTTTGTTTTACATTATCAACGTCAATCTCACTTTTAATCTTAACGCTCTGTCGAGCATTTCTTTCCCTTTTCGTCGGTACACTCCTTTCCGCCAATTGGCGCGAGTGACACATCAATAGGAAACATATACTTATTTTTATTATTATGAAATAACAATACAAAAGTCACAATTTTATACTAATGGAATACGCACTCACACACATTTATATTCAACAAACGTCAGAAGAAGCCCAATCCCCATCGAATATTTGTCGCTTTAGGGTACACACGCGACGCAATACAAAGAGACCGTCCCCGATCTCTATATATGGGTCAACCCATGTGTGTTAGCGAGAAAAACAGAGTATCGTCCTTTTTTCTGCTCTCGCAATGTATTGTCACGGCGTTTTGGATTGCCACGCATTACGATCGTGACGACTTGAAGTTTATATGTCCCCATCATTCTCCATTGCCATATACTGCCTATCTACTTTTCTCGGCATGCACGATGACAGAATCAATACAACGCCGTCGACGTAATTTTAACTTGTTTCGTGAAACCGGAAGTATGACTTTTCTACTGAATTTTTAGATTTATAACCGCGATAAAAGTCTCATTCAGCTTTCTCTCTTTGTTTCGCACTGCATCTTCAAAGCGGCCGTGAAAACTGTCAAGCGCACGAAGCATACTATTTAACAAAATGCATATTTGCAGCAAATGTATGTGTGTGTGTGTGTGTGTGTGTGTGCACGCGTGTGGTGTGTGTGTGTATACCCTCCGATTTAACAATTATGACGAAAGGGTAATTTGATATTTCGAGTGTAAAATTCGAGGATAAAAAGGGTGTTTCGTGCGCGCCAGTTTTATGACACTGCAGCTATAATGAGCACTTGGGTTGTAAAGGCAACATCTGCGACGTTAATGACTATACTAGTATTATACCATATGTATACACGAATACATTTTACGTTGTATAAAGGTCATCCAAGCTTTAATGAAACAGAAGTAGAATGTTATCGTCAACATTTTTCTACTTTCTGGAAAATAATTTTCCGTTTCGGAAATTTCGTATGTTTTGTGAAGTGATAATATTTTACGTATATCATGAACTTCTGTTATATTAGAATGTGAGAATTTCCACGACTTTTTATAACCACGTGTACAAACAATTCTGACGCAGAATTTTACAGAAACAATTCAGTTGTTAAAAATGTTCAAACAAAGGAAAAATTGAAGACGTACCTGTTAATTATGTATATTATTATATATATAAAATATGTGTGTGTGTTTACACACATTATTTCTAAGTGACTTTCTACAGAAAATAATTTGTGTACACGGTCAAATCAAACGCATACAAGAAAAGATTTATTTGTAGCTCCTCGGGATCAAAACTGCCGTTTTTTTTTACCGACGAATCGCTGGCTTCAAAGTTTTGGCGCAAGAAACTTATACTCGCAGATTGTGCCAAAGTTTTTCTTTGCCAACAAAAGCTTTTGCTCTCGTTTTGTGTTGTTAACTAACAAGCTTGCTGCATGTATTCATTAAAATTTCACTTACATTTTCGCTCGAGTTTGTGTTTACTCTATAAGTAGTTGTCAGGTACTTACTTTTATTTTACTACTTTTCAAACGAAATTTATGTACCCTGAATGGGATTTTTAAATTATGTCGGTAGGTGATGTGCAGAATTTTTCATAATGATCGTGATTTTGGACGGTTATAATCAGAAACGATTATTTGAAATATAATGAATATGTAATCTGATACGAGCTTATGGACTAATTCGATTTCATTTCATATAAATATTGAAAATATAACTATCATCTATTAACACCGACAAAAGAAATATTTACCCGTGATTTACTTTCTTTTCTAACTACGATAAACAAAATTGTAATTAAAAAAATATACTTTCTAATTATGAAAAAATGAAAAATGAATGTGGCATGAATAATATCCAAAATGCAAATACAGATGTGAATATTATCAACAGTTTGAAAGAAATTCATAAACAACTTTCTTATTTGAAAAATAAATTGAACCGTGATAACGTTTTTGTGATTGTATTGTTTCGAGGTTTATTTTCAACAGGAACTTCACTCGACTGTTTATGCAAAACCATGACTGTTATAATACAGATAAATCGCAGCACGACAATGTGTCATCATTCGTCATTAAGGAAAAATGAGTAATCATTCCCATCCGGGTACCTAATGCTCATGCATATTTTTTCCTTCGATAAATATAGTCTTATAAGCCATTCCTCGTATACCTTAATCTGATTTTCTTATCACTCTTGAACTGTACTTTCATATTCTACACTCCTGTTCACGTCAACTACATTCTAAGAATAGAAACTCTCCAACACACACACACACACACACACACACACACACCATTTTCTATCGGAGGGTGAGGATGCCTATCATTATTCAATTTGTCTCATTAGGTTAAATTAACGCAGCCGGATTGCCTAATGATTACACAATTTTTTCTCAATGCATATCATTAGATTTCCGGATATTTTCAGATAAATAATTTTTCTTAGATCTAAATTTTATTCTTTTAAAATTGTTCATAACTTAATTACTTATATAAGTATTCCAATGACCTAAAAACTTTTATAGTCTAAATCAAGAAATGAAAATACATCAGACTAGTTTAGAAAGCATTATAACTAACAGTTATAAAACTTGCTCGAATGTAAGCACAGATGTATACAGAATTTATTACGTGAATAAGTACTAAAAAATGGTTTCACTGCAAACGCGCATATCATAAAGAATCTATAAAACAGCGTAATATAACAAAAGAAACTATCGTTGAGTAAGCCCGCATCAATGTATCAAAAGCATATCGACAATTGCAAATGCAGTTTACGGGTACAATGCGGTATCTAAAAACAATATTGCAATTGCAATTTAGGGGTACAATGTTGTATCGGAAAAATTCACAAAATAATTCTTTTCTTTCTCTTTCTCTCTCCCTCGCACACGTACATACACACACGCTTTTCTAGTTCTTTTTAGAGTTCCGTTCGTGACAATGAGATATCGCGTGCGCCGAGAACGTAACAACCTCGCTGCCTGCATGAGAATATCGGATGCACACACGACACTCCATCGAAGATGCATACGCACGCTTGGCGTTACCGGCGCGCAAAAGACAAATGTATGCTTTGATGCTCACAGCCACAGAGAACATTCTCAGCGGGCGCAAATTCTTCACAATACCGTGGCGTACGAAATTTTCTTTTTTCTGTTTGCGCCTCTATGCACGCCATAATGTCGTTAAACATATTGCACGCGCTTGAAATGAGGTCGATGCGGAGATTTCGAAAAAGAATCTTTTTCACTTCTAAGTGAGATTGAAATCTTATCTTGCTTTTTCGTCGTTCTATTAATTCTCGTGCCGCTGCTCTGAGATAGTCTGTCCTTTTAGCACAATTTCATCGAGTAAACACACCGAGTGTAAACCTTGAGGAGTACAAAAATGCATATATACTTCAAAGGATTATTATTTATTCTCCGCCAAGCTGCTAATCGCTGCACTTTCATGTTGCTACTCAGCTATAACATAATCCTTCATATATACGCGGATCTGGTTATCTCATTTCACTTGTCCGTGAAAAACGCTTTCAATTTAATGAAGAAACATAATAATGTTGGCTTAAGAAACTTGAAAAATGTATCCTGACGCTACACACTCTCTCATGTCGTATATCTCGACTGTAAGCAATGAAAGCCACATAATTCTATTGTAAGGAATATGTAGCCGTGTGACTGATGTTTGCAATATTTTCTTTTTGATTGAGCTTCGGTAGTTTGATTAATTGTGTGATAAAACAATAATTTTTAATAAAGCGTAAGTTGATCAGGAATGAAAAGCAGCAAAAAAAAAATTCAAAGCAGTGAAATCCAGATCGTAGCTGTCCGCCTTAAATAAAAAATAATAGAATAGATTGGAACAGATTGATATTGCATCTTCAAAAAAGACAAGCCATCCTAAAAAGCTGAAAAAAATCCAATCGTAAAAGTTGTTGAACGTCCTACGTAAAAAATGAATCGCTTGCAACCCGCACAAGTCAAACAATAAAAAAACAAAAGTTCGCAATGCTCTCACTGTCGTGATCGATTCTTATAATACGAAATTGCCCAGCGAAGAAGGTCGCGAAACAGCAAGGAAATCGGGCAACAGATACGTTCTTGCGTCATTAGTGCAAATGGAGAAAGAGAGACCATGAAAAATTACACAGGGCAAGTCAATTGTACTCGACCTTCGAATTCACTACCTGCGTCCTTCACATGCCATCCTCCTCCTCATCGGTAATTACCGGACTAGGTGATGAAATAATACCCTTGTCGCTCGTATAAAGTTTCGGATTTCTCTCTCTCTCTCGCTCTCTCTCGCTCTCTCTCTTGTAACGACAGGCGTACTTATGCGCAAAACGTGTACGCGCATACACTGGAACTTTATAGATATGTTAATTACGTAATAGCTGTCTGATATTCGACGCACCTTATATGGGTTTTAAAAGTTTACGATAGTTTGCTGAATTAACTCAAGCGCGCAACTCTAGGAGATAGACAGAGAGAGAGAGAGAGAGACAGACAGACAGACAGACAGACAGACAGAGTCTTATATATTTCATGTGTAATGCGATTGTTTCAATGTCGGGAAGCGTGCAGGCAATGTTTGACGCATCGCCTGTTGTATAGTTTCGAAGCAGAATAATAAAGTTCTATGTTTCGCAACTGAACGAAACTAATGAAAATTCATCACTATAATTTTCTTTAATTAGGCCTTTTAATTTGCTGTCAATTTCTTTGATTGTAACAATACTATCGGACAATTGTCATCTTTGAAATGCAATTGTTCTATCATATGAAATTTATGCCGTTTTCGTCCCAGAAAACTACTCATACTTTTT